CCTCTCCTCCTCTCCTCACCTCCTCTCCTCCTCCTATCTACATCAAATAACAACACCCACCATCTCACGACCCTCAAGAAACATCACTATCACCATCACTATCACCGACTCACTTCAGGATCCGCTGTTTCTTGAGTACTTTAGTATTATTATCATGATAATAATAAGATCATATATAGTATAGTACGATTATAGTACGATGAAAAAGTTAAAAGTTAAAAGGATACATCATACTCGTAAAGGCGTATATATGTACAGTACAGTATAGTATTAATCCTTGGAGTGTGTGTGTGAGGGAGAGAGAGAGAGAGAGAGAGGAGAGGATGTGATACGTTTGGTGCGTATAAGTGCACAATGATAGGAAGACAGGAAGACAGAGGGATAATGTTGGTGGTATTAGTAGTATTGGTGGTGGTATAGAGACAAAGAATAGACTCACTTACCAACCCCAGCGGTGACCTTACCTAGCCCGTCCAATTCAGTATACTTTTTGCTGACATAGAAACGTCCAGAACCAGTGTAGGGAATAGGTCCAGTGGATAGTGCAGTGCACTGCACTACAGTGCAGTTTATCTAATTTTGTACGGTTTGAAGAGTCCTATTTTGTACTAGCTGGTTGGTACAGTTTATTAATTTAGAACTGGCAAACTGCACTGCACTATACACTGTACGTATATATAATTAAAATATCTATAAGTTATATATACTTCTTTCAGGTGAATTTAGGTAGGTTTTGAATACGTGCTCGGAGAATCGGGGATATCTAATATAAGCTAGCCGTTTTAAGCAAAATCTGACAATTTCTTGCACTCTAATTGGCTTAGAGCCCACCGCCTAGAAACTTTCGGCTTATTATATAACTCCCTAGTAAATCACGTGATAAAGAGGCAGAAGCATCAAACACAATTGATTTCACACCCAGTTTTAGTGCACTATCGTAGTGCACTGCAGTTAGTGCAGCGGTTTTTGTACTATAGTTTTACAAATAACACTAAAACTACGGTTAGTTTTACGATATCAAAACTGCACTACGCACTGAACGCATTGCACTATTCCCTACACTGTCCAGAACGAACGGTACGAGAACCCCACCTAGAAGTAAGGTTGGTTGGTGATTAGTACCATCCGTAATTCCAACCACTAAGGTATCAATCATATCATGATCACGAAGCAAAAACAACAAGAAGAAGAAGATCTCATCATTTCTCATTTCCATTCCAGTATGTACCTATAACTAACTACCCTCTCATTCACGGCCGTTAAGAAGAAAAAAAAGTAGGGGAAATTACTTGTAAAATCAACCAACCAACCAACCAGTTGACCACACCAACCACACTTGAATTCATCTCTCGATCGCATCATCGCCGGTCAGTCAGAACGCTATCATGCCACGCCACGCCACGCCACGCCAGCCAACCAAACTGAGATTCCCCATCCATCCATCCCTTGCAATCATGCGAAGTAATCTAAACAATTAAAAGGAAGAAAGAAAGAAAAGAAGAAGAAAAAAGTAATCAAATTGATTGAAAAAAAGGCAGAGAAGAAAAGAAGAGGGAAAGCAAAAAAAGAAAAACCGAAATCAACTTCATGACAAATCATGCTGACCCAGGGGTATAGAACGCCATTTGTGAATGCCCTCCATATGCGAACCATCTCATTTCATATCAGCGGGGGAAAAAATGGAAAAAACAAAGAAATTTCAAGTCAAGTAGTCGGGAGAGAAAATAAAAAAGGCACGACCAACCCCAATTACACCCAGATCACGTTCAAGAGCACTTCTTGAATGAAGACTCTCAACACCAAGCCACCAAACCCCAACTCTCAACGTTCAATCATCCCCACGCACTCTTTTGTAACTCCATATCTCTCCGTTTCTTTTTACGTCCTTTCTAGCCGACGATCTACCAGTGGATAAAAGAGAATCTGTCTGTACAGCAAAATGAATCTCAAAGTCCGAAGAATTTTAAAAATCCACAAAGAAAGCCTAGTAGTCATGGTTCCGACAACGTTCGAGAAACCTCAGTCATACTGGCAGTAGAGTTTGCTAAACGAGTCTTCATCTTGTCCAATAAAGCAGCTAGGAGGAAAGGTTTCGAAATAACGTCATCAGCCCCACTGGAAATGGCAGTCGCGATCTGATCATCTCTAGCGTTGGCAGTCGTTACGATGATTTCCACGTGGCGTCTATATTTCCCTTCCTTTTCGAATGCTCGGATGTGTCGGCAAGCGGTAAGTCCGTCCATAACAGGCATCTCCCAGTCCATCAAGATAATATCGACTCGTTTTCCAGAGGTGTTTTCATGCCACAAGTCGCTCTCCAACAACCAATTCAGCGCTTCAGAGCCATCATTGGCAACCTGAACGACACAGCCAGCTTCGGTAAGTTGCTTTGCAAGGATCTTCTGATTTAATTGGTTATCTTCCACGAAGAGGACGTGGATATGATTGGTATATTCAGGGGGAAACATTCCGTCGATTGGACCAGATAAGGTCCTGACTGCCAAAGGAAAGTTTTGTTCAATTACGGCATTGTCGCTTTGTTCTGGGAGAGTCCGAGCAGCTTCGACATAAAATGCAAAAGTGCTACCGACCCCGGGCTCCGAAGAAACCCCAATCTCTCCGTTCATCTTCTCAGCCATCTTTTTGGCGACGAAAAGACCGAGCCCGGTTCCTCCATGCTGGATTGAAGTTCTTGCACTGGCTTGAGCAAACCTATTGAACAGCTTTTGTCGCTCAACAATAGTCATTCCGACGCCGGTATCCTTTACAGAAAGAGTCAAGTATACCTTCTCTGAATCCGGAGGCAAATACTCTGCGGTAGGAGAGCCGGTAGGGGAGCCGGTTGGCTGAGCGTTGTCTCGGGGTGCCCAGTGAATATCACTCGGAAATGCTTCTCTGGGATTCTTTTCAACTGCGCCGTATGTCACGGTGATATGCTTCTGCTCTTGCTTGCTGGTAAACTTGATGGAATTTGTCATAAAGTTCACCAACATCTGAGTGAAACGGGAGGAATCGCACAAGATCCAATCAATCTGTGCAGCACTAAGCTTCGGCTTTTGAATCATAGCAAGTTCGATGCCATGTGCCTTGGTATCAGACTCGAAGATCCTAACTGTTGATTCTACAACTTCAGGCAACTGCATAGGCTGCGGCTTGATGGATATCAGCTCATGCTGGAGTTTAGAAAGCGTAAGTAAGTCGTCAACAATACACTTCTGCAATTTAGCAGCGGACATGATGGTCTTGGCCCACTCGACGTTACTGCGAAGCGTCTCAAAAAGCTCTGCACGAGTAATAGTTTTGGGGTGGACATTATTCAGAGACTTTGTAATTGTGTCGGCACTCGTATAGATGGCAGATAGAGGGTTTCTCATCTCATGCGAGACCATGTCCATGAAGTCCTCTTGGTTCTTTTTGGCTTCAGCGGCGGCAGCAGCCTTGCGAGCCTCCATTCTTTCAGCCCACTTGAGGGAGGAGATATCCGATATGACAGTCACTGTACCAGAGTTAGTACATGCAATGAACAGTGTGAACTGAGCATTCAAGAAAGGCTCTGGGATACCCATGAAGGCTTGATAATGGGCAGAGTAACTTACTGACGGATCGTACTCTGCCTTCCTCAACGTACGGAAACGAGTGTGACAAGATACACGATGGCTCCGGATTGCCAGATGGTGGAACAAACAACTTCTTTAGATGCATTTCGACAGAAACGGACGGTTCGCCGCGGATTAACTTTTGCCACGACTCCATTGCCTTCGGGATGTCCTCTTCAACATATATGTCAAAGAACTTGGCGTTGAATTTACCTTTCCCATTATTATTTTGACCAGTAAGTTTGAAATATTGCTCATTTGCCCATATCGGAAGACCATCGATAGAAGAATGCAGCATCCCAACAGATGCGTTTTCTGCCAGGAAGGTGATTTGTTTTTCACTGTCTTTGACTCGCTTTTCAAGGCGGTCTGTTTCGTTCTTTGCGTTCTCAATGTTAGAGATTGAGGCAGCTACAGAGGTTATCATCGAAGCAATGTCTCTCATAAACACCTGGTGATCGCTATCAATTGGGCGTCGAGGATTAACACCAAGGATCAGATAACCGAAGAGTTTTGCACCCCCTACGAGTGGAAGGACACTGAAATGGTGGCTTGGGTCGCCGAAACCTTGCCAATCAATTCCAGCAAATTGGTCATCGACTGGAAGCGTCGTAACCGTACCCAAATCGCTCGCCTTTCGGATGAAATGACCCAGGCCGGTGCCTCCATTAATATTGACTTCTTTCGCCGCCATCCTGTGGTAAGGAGGAACGCCAATACTACCACGGAGAAGCAGGTGAGTAGACGCGGGAGTCTTATCTTCATCTACCTCATAGAGGAGAGCCATCGGGACGTCCAATTTATTCGATTCGAGAAAAGGGATAACGAAATCCTGGAGAGCCCAAGAGCGTCGAGCCCCTGTAGCAGCCTCCATACGACTAAACATGGCTGCCCTTCGATCACCTAGGATTTGCCGAGTTACTTCATGGGTGGAATTTTGGAAGCCGATGATTTCGCCATCGAGGCTTCTTAGTGGGTTGAAGCTTCCAGAAAAATATGTCTCCTCAAGTAGACCTGCGCGCTCGACAAAGACTTGGATATCAGTAACATTCACAGCTGATCCTGTACGCTCTCCTTCTTCAAACACAGCACCGATTGGATCTCTAATGTCACTGAATGCTGCTTCTTTGAACGGTGAGCCCATCAATGACGGGTGAGCCTTCCCACATAGAGGCGCAAACGCAGCATTGTAGATGGAGATTCTTTCTGGGCCCCTACTAGCCATTAGCATACGTCTTGTATTTTGTGGAAGTTGGGTACTTACAGGTAGAGGCATGAGGGTTGCGAGTCGGTCAGCATCATGGTAACGTAGAGTTGGCGAACATAATCCCACGCAGCAAGGGGTCCCAAAGGCGTGTCCTGCCATGGTGTATCTAGGAATAGTTTGATGCTGTGATGAAGTAATTAGTTACTGATCATTCGCAACCAACCCATCTGATAAGGAATCGCCGGATCGGAAACACCCAACGACACCAAAGGAGAGCAGAACACGCTTACTGATCATTTGCAGGCAGTCGGCGGTACCACAAGGGAATAGAATTAAGTTTACGTGGCTTGCCACTGCCACCTCTGGTTGCTGTTTCAGATCCGACCTTTAGATCTTGCGGTGCTTCATCCGACATCTTGACAATCGGCTTGTTGATGACACTAGCGGAGAGGAGGAGACAAGAAGGCCACGGCTGCTTGCAGGTGCGCCTGCAGTCGCTTCAATGTGAGGTTGAACTGGGAGGGAGTGTGAGTGTTCTGTACGTCGTGGGACAGCCGACGGCGGGGAAAAAGAGAAAGCGCAGAGATAATCTTGGCTGAGGTGGTGGTGGTGGTGGTCGGCCAGCGTGTGGAGTGTCGATAGTAGTGTAGATCGGCCCAGGAGAGTCTACAGTCGTCCACAGCACGGCACTACACTGCGCGCGACCGTATGTCTACTGCCTTCTGTCAGCCGGCTTGAGATTGGGGTTGGGGGGGAGTTGAGGGTGTCTGGTGGTCTTCCACAAGCGTTCAGATTAGGCGCGTGTGAGAGTGCCAGATCGGATGAGAATTGGCGACGCCCAAGAGGTTGGATTGGTGGTGGCGTGGCGTTGGGTGCAGGTTTGCGCACTCATGCTTGTGCTGGGCAGAGGGAATAGGCAAGTAAGGAAATTGAAGCTCGTCAACCTACGGGGGAACAGAATGACACAATGGTGGACAAGGACGACGCTAAGATCGGATTAGCGTGCCGTGCTTGTAGCGTCAGAGCTGTCTGTATGAATCCCACCGTCTAACACTTCCCCCCGGAGAGACCCCCCAAAAACTGGGGGCTGGGGGCTGCCAGGCAGACTGGAAGGTTCTCGGATGTGCAGAACTTTACTCGTCGTTGTGAGACCCACTGCGCCAACTTGGGCTGATGGCTCTACAACTCTCATCCAAAATAACACTGGAGTTATTAGATGAGAATTGCGTCCATGGTGCATCTTTCTATCAGTACGGGATCAAGGGAACTCGTTCTAGACTTTTCGTTGCATGCTGCCTCTATATAAGAGTTTTCATCCGAGAAAAGGGGTCATATGACATCATAGGCGCCACCTACGTCATAGTTCGGTATTCTTCAGCCCTCAAATTTGGTGGTGCAGGTGGAAGTTGCTCCAACAACTGTCAAATCCATTTCTGTCACATTTCCAAGATATAGTACGAATTATATGGGATCTACTAACACATTTCAAGTATCCCTAACGATATCTGAATTGCAAACATAATTTTGAGAGTGCAAATGAAAGTCAAGTCTTCTCATTTGTGCGCATCAGTCCAACTCGCTTACGTAATACTTGCTTTGATGGATTTTTCAGGCAAAATTCACTTCACCGCAATCTCGCTAAGGTTGTTTATGTCTCTGCAGCTGGTGCAGCCAAAGATGTCTTTTCAAATGAAATCAACCAACTTTGTAAACTGAACCAAAGTTTCTTGGATCCCATATCTAGTTGGACTATTGTTAACCATTAAGGTTTCTAGAAAGATATTTATATAATGGAAATCTCTTAGTTCTTGCGACTGCGACTGCGACTGCGAGCAGTGATAATGCAGACCGAGGGGTAGTAGGAGATGGTATGGGAGTGGTTGGGGGTCTGGGCGTAGGATTAGAAGATGCCGGGGGAATTGAAGTTGATGGAGAACAAGGCTCAAACGTCGATACGTCGATAGCCTCAATTCCAGCTTCAAAAGACCAGAAAATCGCATCCTCCTCGCCACCGTCCTCATACCTCCCTCCCCAATGAGGCGATTCGCAAACTTCCCGAGCTACAGTCTGCGGAAGCTGATGAGCGAGCGGAGGATGACGGGCAAGAAAGATATACATCAGAGGACGCAGATGGTACCCTCGAGATTCTCGACCAGTTCTCCTGGAACACTTTCAGGGCAAGGCCCTAATGGAGAGCGACCGCTATTTGAGCATTGTGAAGACGAGCCTATTCATATACCGGGAGCGATTCAGAAATTTGGGGCCTTGGTCGGCATTAGATGCAAACCAGAAGGGGTTTTTGAGGTTCGAATATGCAGCGAGAACACGATGCACATTTTAGGTCGCAGTCCGGAAAGCTTGTTTAACTTATCCTCATTTTCGGAGATACTGGACGAAGAATCCCGTGAAGAACTCAGTACTCGCGTGGCCAATGCCGTTCAATGCCCCTCTCTAAGAAATGAAGATACCCATCTTGACGTTTTTTCTGTGACTGTTCAATCCTCAAACCACTCTCCAATTCAGCTATGGTGCGCGGTTCATTTGCCACAAGACTCTGGCGATATAGTCATTCTCGAGTTTGAAGTCTACTCTGATGCTTTGTATCTCAAAGGTCCGGAGGGAACATCTACCCTCCCCAAAAAACCGGTATCCGAGAACGACATGGAAATTACGCCGGAAGAACGAGAAAAGAGCACAACAAGCAAGAGCAAACCTCTGAGAGTTCTCCAAATCGCCAAGCGCAAGGGGCAAAAGACTTTCACGTCCATGGATATCTTCAATGCTATGACACAAGCCCAAGAACAACTTGTAGCCTCCCAGTCCCTGCAAGGAATTTTTGACGTGGTTGAAGGTCTAGTCTCAGAGCTGACTGGCTTTCATCGTGCCATTTTCTATCGTTCTGACGAAATGAAGAATGGAAGTGTGGAGGCTGAACTTGTGGATGATCGAGCCAGCAGCGAAATCTTTAGAGGTACAGTACTACTCAGTTCCATACAACTAGCTATATATCTGACCCTATTTCAGGCCTCCAATACCGAGCTTCAGATATTCCCAGTATGGTTTAGCATCGCTCGAATCTCTCTTCCAAATACTCATTATGACATAGAACAAGCAAGAGAATTGTGCAAAATAAATCGGATACGACTTTTGCATGACAGAGACGGCGAAACAGCCAGACTAGTATGTCCAAACATTCCATTCTACTAACCAACGTTAACCCGCCATTGACATGCTTCAGGTGTGTCGAGACGAGGCTGATTTTGTTAAACCACTTGACCTTACTCACTCATATTTGCGCGCAATGTCACCAATATATCTCAAATATCTGGGAAATATGGGTGTTCGCTCTTCCATGTCAATTTCGATTGTAATCAACTCCGACCTGTGGGGGTTGATCGCTTGTCATCAGTATGGAGATACAGGGCTTCGGGTCTCCTTACCTATCCGCGAACTTTTTCGAAATATTGGAGAATGTGCCGCATCAAATATCGAACGTCTGGTCATGCTACAGCGACTTGAAGCACGTCGCCCACCTCAAACCGCCCCTCCCGCGCAATCCCCGCAGGGGTTTATCGCTGCTTCCTCTTCGGATCTACTCCGAGCATTTGACGCAGATTTCGGCATGCTTAGTATCCAGGACGAAGCGCGTGCTATTGGCAGACTAGACCCCACAGGGAAGCACTCGTGATTCTTGCACATTTACAAGGTCTTCGACTTAGAACAATTGTGTGCTCACAAAATGTCAACGCAGATTTCCCTACTATCAATTACCCCCCAGGAATTGAGGTGATTTCCAGCTTGCTACTTATTCCTCTCAGCATGGGAGGAAATGACTTCATTGTCTTTTTTAGAAAGGGCCAACTCAAAGAAGTTCGATGGGCAGGAAACCCATATGAGAAAATTGTGCAACCGGGCACCCAACACTAAGTGTCCTGCAGCCTAGTAAGAAATTTCAGACTCCAAGCATATGAAGCTATTTCTCAATCTTTCCATTTATCCGGTGGTCCAACTCTGAAAGCTTTCCCTGATCGCTAACGCATCAACTATCTAGGAACCAGTTTTGCGCGATGGACTGAGAGCGTCATTGGAAAAAGTAAGGCATGGACTGACGATCAATTGGACACAGCAACAGTCCTCAGTCTTCTCTATGGTAGATTCATCGAAATTTGGCGCCAAAAGGAGTCGGCAAGCCAAAACAGTCGTCTAACACGTCTCCTCATTCGCAATTCATCTCACGAAGTCCGAACACCACTGAATGCAATCGTCAACTATCTGGAAATGGCACTTGAGACTGACATAGATGGCACTACGCGCGATCTGTTAGAAAAGGCCCACAGAGCTTCGAGATCTTTGATTTACGTGATTGATGACTTGTTGAACCTCACCAAGGCAGAAGATGGCCCTGTCAGCAGAGTTGGAAACGCATTCGATCTTGGTGCGACTTTTAGCGACGTCATAACTGCTTTTCAGAAAGAGGCTATACGCAAAGGTCTTGATCTCACTGTCTCTACCCACCAAGGCATTCCAGTCATGGTCAAAAGCGATCCTTCACGTCTGCGACAAGTTTTATCTAACATCACCAGTAATGCTTTTCAGCATTCTGTTAATGGTGGTACCAAGGTTGAAATCTGCCCTATTCGTAACACTGAAAGTAACTCGGTTGTGGGTATCTCTGTTCAAGATGTTGGTTTGGGTATGTCTGAAACTCAATTGGATGATTTGTTCCCAGAGTTTGAACAGATCGTTGATGAAGACGAATGGTCTCTGTCATATGACAATACACCTCAGAGTATAGATGGAGGGATTGTTCCTTCTTTGGGAGTCGGCATTGCCGTTGTTGCTCGATACGTTCGAAATATGAATGGCCAGATTCGAGTCAGTTCAGAGCTTGGAAAAGGTACTATCTTTGGAATTGAATTGCCGTTCGAACATGCACAAACTGGAGATTTTCGAACAGCGGCAGGGCTAGCCAAAAAGTACCTACTTCCAAGGGCCGCCTCATTCGACAGTAACTCATCCGTCCCGAATTCGCCAATACCAAAAGAAGATGCCGTTAATAAAGAGTCTGAACCACAATCGAAACCAAGTGAGGAATCACTTAAACATCGGCCTCTAAGAACCCTTAGCTATGATCCAGAGGTCAATGACAAGGTTAAGAAGCCTATTACTGCCTCTCGACAGGACCAACAAAACCTTGATGGTGCAGATGGTTCGAATTGTAATCCTTCTTTATCGGTTTTGATAGCCGAAGATAATCCAATCAACGCCAGACTTCTTAGCAAGCGATTGCTTAAACTTGGCCATGAGGTTGAAGTTGCTTATGATGGACAAGAATGTTTTGATTATTTTGCATCTCGGATACGTAAAGTAGACGTTATTTTGATGGATATACAGGTACGGGATTTCGAAGCTTGTCCCATTAACTCAAACTGACCCATGGATTCACAGATGCCATTGGTTGATGGCGCACAAAGCGTCAAGATGATCCGTCGGCTGGAGGCTGAATTGAAAAATACTCCAAATTCGCGCCCTAGAGTTCCTGTGATTGCGGTGTCTGCTTCGTTGACCGAAGATAACCGATTCGTGTATTTGCAAAGCGGGTATGTTTAACCCTTCCTTTCCACTTCTGTTTTTAGTAACCCCCCCCCCCATCGGTCGAACTAACATTCTTGCCCTAGTTTCGACGCTTGGGTTCTAAAGCCCGTCAACTTTGGCAGGTTGGAACTGCTCTTGAAAGGAATCAAGAATCAAGAAGTGAGGGGACAAGCGCTCTATGTCCCCGGATATTGGGAGGGGGGTGGCTGGTTCATGCCATGATCTCTTCGAAAGCCTCGTTGAAGGTGTGTTGAATGTTTGGCTGGCTGATTTTTATACTTGCTTTCTGTGTGCTGGGATTTTCTTTTTCGTATTGTGGGACTACATACCCCCCTCGGCTGTTGGTTTCATCGGGAATTTTCTTTTAAAGTGTAGTAATATATACAAGACTACAAGGCCTCCTGGGCGTTTTTTGGAGTTTGCTTTCTAGTAAATTAATGTTATTAGAAGTAACGAGTGTCTGCTTCGCCGTTGATGAGAACTTTGGGAAGCTATTGATTATCTTCCATCTTCCCATGTTTATTATTTTCAGGCAGGAAAACATACATCGAAAGCTTCGTACTTGGGTAAGAGAATCTTGGTAACGCTCTCTTCATCGCAATTCAAAACGAGGGTTTACTTTATTTGCCAGCAAGGTACGTCGGGTCCCTCTCTCCCGAACTGCATCATGAGCTAACACTGCAGATGGTTCAACACGATATGCAGCAAAGCATCAGTACAACACCACGTACCAAGTATTTAAACCCATTCACCCTGTGACCTGTGGTGATGGTGGGATGGAGTTCCTCAGTGCAAGTGGGGTAGCTGGTAGGTAGTACAGGTAACGTTGTACAAACCCTGACATTGAGTTTCCCTCCGGCATGAAGCCGTTGCTAATGAGGGGGCTAAATGGCGGGGTAATTTGACCAGGGTCGGATGGCAAAAGGTGGGGAAAGGACGCATGGATTTTTGATTGGAGGCCGGAAGGACCGATTGGCATGGGATATTTTGGTAAGTACTTGTAATGTATTTTTTTGCTAAACACTTTCTTTTCTTTGACCGTGCAATATTTGATAATAAGCAACTTGTTATCATGATGAAGGGAATTCTTACTCGTTTCCTGGCGGTAGTTGCGGGTTTTGCGATTGGTATCCATGCCCAATGTCCGAATTATGCGCAGTACTCGCAACAAGTCCATGAACCACTTAGTACCGGGCGATATGCTGTTAGTTTTCTATTCATCTACCCTTGAATTGAATGAATGGCTAACAAGTCAATTGAAAGCTCCCCTACCAACGTCCCTCCCCCGAATGTCGTACCTTCAATTCCTCAATCGTCGAAGAAACCATCACCCGAATGGCGACCATAATCAAAGACCCCGACCTCTTCCGGCTCTTCGAGAACTCCTTCCCCAACACCCTCGACACGGCCGTCAAATGGCGCGGCGTCGCAGCCGACAACAGCGCCGAAGAACTAACCTTCTTGATCACCGGCGACATCAACGCCATGTGGCTGCGTGATTCCGCAAACCAGATGCAATCCTACCTCTCTCTCGTCCAAGCATCCGACTCGAAAGATTCCCTCGCCAGTCTCTATCGCGGGGTGATTAACCTCCAAGCACGCTACATCCTCCAAGCCCCATTCTGCAACTCCTTCCAACCACCCGTCGAATCCGGCATCGGGCCCTCGCAAAACCAGCAGAATCCAGATATCTTCACGCCACCGGTGCCTACCAGCATAGCCTTCGAATGCAAATATGAACTCGACTCCCTGGCCGCATTTCTGGAGATCTCGACGAATTACTACGAGGCGACGGGGGATCTCGAGTTCTTTAGGAAGTTCAAGTGGGTGGAGACGATCAAGACGATTCTGAATACGACGGAGAGTTTGCTGATTGGCACGTATGCGAGGGATGGGAGTGTGAATACGATTCCGTATACCTGGAAGCGGAATACGGATTCGGCGACGGAGACGCTGGATAATAATGGGCGGGGGAATCCGGTGTTGGAGGGGACGGGACTCGTAAGATCTGCGTTTCGACCTTCTGATGATTCGTAGGTTTTTTTTTCTTTGTTTTTTTTTGAATATGAAGGAAATTAGACTCTTGAGATTTGAACTCATAGACTGACGAGGAGGGGGGGTCTAGAACGATCTTTCAACTCTTCATCCCCGCCAATATGATGTTTAGTCGCTACCTAGACACCACCTCCGAAATCATGGCCCAGATAGGCGACCAGAGAAATCTAGCAAACCACATGCACAATTTCGCGCAGAGAATCCGGGAGGGAATTACCCAGCACGGAATCGTGAATCATCCCAAGTTTGGACAGATCTATGCTTTCGAAGTTGATGGATATGGTAGCCGTATGTTCATTCCTTTCCATCCCCCCAGCTCCCTTTGCGATATTGTGAAAACGAAGTGAAGAGGCTGATTTGCATGGATACAGAAAATATCATGGATGACGCTAATATCCCTTCCCTCCTCTCCGCGCCCTTTTTCGGATACACGAATACCAGTGACCCCATCTACCAAAACACCCGAAAAATGATCCTCTCACCCTACAACCCGTATTACATGAAAGGACCCGTCATCAGCGCGTAAGTCCCCCCTTACTCCCCCTTTCCCTCATCTATAACCTCGCTAACCCCCTCACAGCGTAGGAGGACGTAAGTAATCCCATCACACAACTACACAATAGCCACCCAACTAATCTTCCATCTAGCCCACGCAGGCCTCGGCCTCGCCTGGCCCATGTCCAGCATCATCCAAATCTTCACCACGTCCTCCACCTCCGAGATCAAAGACTACCTACACCAGATCCTGAGTTCGGCCGATGGACTGGGCTTGATTCATGAGAGTGTGAATAGTTTTGATGCGAAGAAGTGGACCCGACAGTGGTTTAGCTGGGCGAATGGCCTTTTTGGACAGTGTTTGTTGGATCTGGAGAAGAGGGGACTGGGAGGTGTTTTGGGGGCGAGCTTTCAGGGTGGATATGGTAGATTATTTGGGTAGGTGGGTTGCGCTGATTAATCAGGTAAGGGTAATGGGGTTGGGTTTTTTTGTAATAGGCGAGAGTAGGTTGGTAATTAATACATTGCCCAATGCCCACCGGGAATGGTTCTTTGAATGATTGTAATTCGGGGGAAAATTGAGACTTGTGCGTCTTGATCCAACATCTTTTCGTCACGGAAAGACACCATTCTGCAACGAAGGGTAGCAAAGTCGAACCAATCAATCAAGAAGAAAAGAAAAATAAATCATCTCCGGTAAGATATGGGCCCAAGTCACTACCGTGAGCGACGGGAAGTTGGAAAGGAGTTGTTTTAGTTTTACTCAAGTAGTCTTCTTGTAATTCTGAAAGAAACATCTTTTTCTTCATGATTCCGTGAACAAGCCAAAACACCTAGAAGCCGCTTTTCGAACCGGACGAATATCATGACTCCAAAGACCGGATCATCGTATATAGAAGGAAATAACAGCGCCCAAACTCCACTGGACGAGAGGAGATCGTAAGGGAAAGAAAATCGAAGGAGAGGTTCCATAGAAATTGCCATCGCATTTTTCAATATTTGACAGCATATTGGTACATTTTCACTTTCTCACCATTTCTTATTCGATGTGAAATCTCCTCCTTGTCGTTCCCTATCAATTCGCGCATCAAACTCCTTTTGCGCATCTTGTTTTGAGTATCGCCTCTCCTCACTTAATTGTGTCGATGTAAAGTCATCAGGAGAACCCCCCGCCTGTGCCTGGGCACGCTGTTTGGACCACGCATCTTGCGAGCCTTGCCTTTGTGTTGGTACACCTCCTCCTCTTCGTATCCTCTCCCATGCTGAGCCTTGCGGTTGTGATGTTCTTGTATCTTCTGACATACCTTGTCCACCCGTGGGTGAGGCATCGTCGAAATAATCGAATGGTTTACTTTCTGTCTCTCCTGTCCATCTTGTTTGTTGGAATCTCGGGGCAGGATTTGGGTTCAATGCAGTCTGCTCCCTTGGTGGAGTTGGATTGTCGCTGACCATCTCTGGGCCATCCTTGCCAAAATCTTCTTCACCGTATATACCTCCCGTGGGACTAGCATCGTCCTGATTCTGTGGTAGTTGATTTCGCGAAGGTTGTGGCGTCGATTGACCTGGCATTTTTCTACCAGTTTTGAGAATCTCATTCATCTCCTTGGTAAGTTGTGTCATTCGTGAATCATACAGGATCCCAACCGTCGTAGCAGTTGAGGCGTAACTCGATATCAACACCTTCGAAAGCGCAAAACCAGCCGCAGAATACGAGAAAGCTCTAAGCCCATGCCAAACTATCACAGCGGTGGGGCCTCGCACCACAGGGAAAGACGTAAGTGGGAAGGCATTTTTGTTGAACGTTGGAAAAAGCTGATCCGGCCGGACAAATGGAAACCGGAATGTCTGGCGTGTGTCGTATGCTCGCCAAAGTCCTCCTCCTATACCCAATACGGGCTCATAGGATCGAATTCGGTTGGTTTTCGCATTCCAGTATACTACTGCATCCATCTCTTCCGCGGTGAAACGCCTTCCTAGCTTCCTTTCTATCTGTCCAATCATTTCGGCGGCCTTCTTCATGGTAACGTGTGGACCGTAGCCAAAAAGCTGCCCAAATATGGGCAGTGGCTGTGGCATGTTGTCGAAGTTGACGACGTGCGTGTTGGCCATGTCGCTGTTGGAGTAGGGATCATTGTCTGATGGGGGCATCGAGTCAGAGGAATCGGAGAGAACCATGGTGATGGTCAATTGCTCTACTCAAGCCTCATTGAGGAGAGTGGTGGTTTCGTATAGCTGATTTGGCTAATGCCGTTGGGGCGGGGTTGGTGGTCAACTCAATTGGTTCTGTGAGGTTGGTGTTGAGGGACATGAAGTGAAGCGTCAAAGCTCGCACATGGTGACGTGAGTTATGCAAGGATCTTCTCTTCGCAAGGGGTGGTGGGGTGTGCGTATATAATATTGTCGCTTAAAAATATCCGTGCATAGTTCAGTACTGCTACGGCTGTAGGGGATATGCTTCTTGAACGTCGCTCTGCCATTTTATTCAAGTTAATCTTTTGAAACAGAATATATTCTTGTCTTGGAGTATTAGAGAAATTGCTTCCACAGTAATAACTTGGAAAGTCACCATGATGCTATTTACTACTGTTTTAATATTTGACTGTGAGCCAACTCACCTACCTACCCAGTTGGTTCCATTTGCCTTTTTGGGTCGTTATATGCCCTGCAATTCTTTCCATTTGAAATCCCCAGAAGTTCTTCAGCATACGATCACGTTCAGAAATCAAGAAAGTTACAACACTACAAAGTCATGGAAATACCCACCTCAACAGCACGGGAGGCTGAAAAGAGGCGTCCATCCTTTCATATATTACCCGCAACGTTGGCAGATATAACAGACATGATAGAAATCGCCATCGCAACAACGGAATATGAGATCGTTATTAGGTTCATGTTCAGCACTTACCACGACGAATCAATACCTTTACAGCGCGAATTCTGGAGGACGATATTTTCCAGAGCATTTCAAAGAGAGACCACGCATATTATGAAAGCTACATTAGATAGCACGGGAGAAACAGTGGCTTTTGGAATAGTTGGGTGGGCAGACGGAAAGTGGGATGCGCCTGAGATGCCACCACGAAAGACACACCCAGGTCCCGGAGTGCGATTCATTGACTTTTATGCTGAGGAAGAAGGCCGAAATTATCGACGGTTAATGGCTGGACATGCACATTACAGTAAGAATCTTCTATTCCCGTCTAGCGAGTTTATGTTGATGAATATGTGTTAGTTTGGAACAGTTTATATGTCTTGCCCAAGTACCAACGCATGGGATTTGGGTGCAATCCTCCGCTGGGGTTTCCACACCTACGGACTTGAAAAGAAAACGGTATTCGTCCAAACCTTCATGGGTGCTCGAGGGGTTTATGCGAAGTATGGATGGCAAGAAGTAGATGCTACGGAAATCGATCTTGCTGAATGGGCAGGCAGTGGGATGGGATTTGGTTTGCATCGGTCGCCGCAGATGATTAGGAAGCCCATGCCTTTCGAATGATAATTAGGTGGTTGGCGTTCAATCAATAGTTTACCTATGTAATAAATATAATTAATTCGGTACACTCCAGTCAAATTTGGAGAGAGTTCTTAGGATATCAGCGCGCAATATTTTGTTATAATGCAGATAAATTTTGGAAAACAGAGTGCGATAGCTCATGATGATCGTACTCCGTGAAGAAGCATTCCAAGGGAATACTTTCACCTCATAACTCCTCCAGCTGGTTGGTCAAGATCACGTGAAAATAACAATACCAATACCTATGCTCGTAAGTGGATAATAACTTCATTGATTCAGCCCAAGCAGTAAATTGGTTTGTGTCAAAGTAAACTCTCAATTGTAATTATCCTCCTAGGTTTCACCATCCCGACCATATTACGCTGTAAGTTGTCATTCATTCATTCTGGCCTGAGACATCTGCAAGAGCAAAGTTCTCTCGTGACCATTCTTCAGGACTATACAACCTAACCCTTGTATCACAACGGCCCTCACGAGGCAAATTGTCTCAGTCTCGTAGTCAGTTGAGAATCGATTCGCTTTTGATATAGATACTAGATCTCTTAACAAAGTACATTATAAGATGGCTTTTTGTTGTTGTCAACAGCTTCATTTTTGTCCCGCTGTTGTTTTCATGCCATCTACACTTCATGAGCACTGAAGTCTTAGTGGAAGACAGCTCATAACGTTGAACTTGATGGACGAATGATCTTGATCGCGTACCTCAAGCCAAAGCTTCAACCTCTCGCAGGGTAGATATCTCGGGATATTATCATCCGTGTATGACTTGCAGTCTCGCTTACTATTTATGCATCAGGTGGACCATGATTGGATTACGAAGCACCCATGAATTCAGGGTAAAACTTGCTCCCGGAACTTTGGTAGCTAAAACTTGTTGGAATCAATGTCTCAAATCAGAATCTTAAGCTCTGTGCTAGAATGGTGTGGGGTAAAAACTCCTCAATTATTGCCACGTCATGAATTATATGATGGGCTGCATGTTGTTTACATGATAAGTTTGAATTTTTCTCTGAGGCTGTTTTGAGGTGTGACAGCCTCTTCATATTGTGGCGTATTCAGAGATCATTTGAACTATTGTCGAGTTCTTCTCCAACACCCCTCAAGATGTCGAGTAGATTTAAAGGCTTCGCGCAACAGAGAACTTCTGATACTACCGCAGCCTTTTGTGAGACCACTAAAGTGCTTCCAACTTCAAAATCCCTCGAAACCGTTTATTAGCTGCAACATACAAAGCTTGCCATGTCAATCTTCGGAATGCCATCCTCAAAGAAAGAAAAACATTACGCTAACAGCCATGCCCGCCGTCACTCGGGCACAGTCGTCATCTCAGGAGGCAAAAAGTCCAAAAAGAACAAAGATTCCGATACCGAATCAGTCAACTCTTCCTCAGCCTCCTCGGACGCATCAACGACGGAGTCAAAATGTCCTATAAGGTGGATGATGACCGGCATGTTCAAGACGAATCACCAAGGAGTCAAGCCAGCTGGTTGCCCTCTGAGAAGAGTTCAGTTGTGGCACACCATACCCCTTTGTCTTCTCGCGATTATCAACCTGTTGCTTGTCATATTGGCGCTTTTGGGGTTAGCAGGGTATCGAGTTGCGATGGGGTTACAGGTCTTCATTTTGAGAGTTGCGAAGATTGATCTGGAATACCTTGCTGTTAGTACTGAAGAGGGCCCATCCAACATCGGGACCAAACATTGAGGCATGGGATCCTGGCTATATGTTATATTTTCTTGTCCCTTTTACTTGACTACTTGCATCTCAGGACTTGTTGGGATGAGGAAGAATTCGGGATTTTGTTTTACCCGCGATCTCTCTTGGCTATTGCTATGAAACACCGGATATTGTACCGTAAGGGCGCGCCAATCCATTTCTTCAAGGAATGTCGGTTTTAATTCGGCCTGGGTATCTTATCAACATGGAAATGTGGTTTGGTAGCGCTCTGACGGAGAAGACTTGGTTCGGTAATGTACATACTGAAGCATCTGAGGGAGCCCAGGTATCCTGCCGCAGTAGGGGCTTTCAGTGTATGGGTATGTCATAGGAAAGCGTCAGTTCGTTTGCACAATTTGAGATGCTTTACGGAGACGGAAGGAGATCTCTATGACTAGCTTGAGCAGTACTTTGTTTTTGGCGAAGGTCTGCACTCTTGGACCTGAGGTTTTAATGGAGGGAGTTTGAAGGATGGAGTAGGGGCAGTGATTATCTCTTATTAGTTCTAGTTATTAATTTGACAATTTAATGATTACGATTTAATGAAAATAGAACCTCACTCTCCTCCTTTCGAAGCAAGTGTTTCATTTGGTCAATGGAAATAAGAGCGTAGATAATCTCTCGTTAATTGGATAAAGTGCTCTCTGCGGGAATGGACAGCACATCTTTGGGATGCTTACATCTTGCCCCAGCAGAACATGAGAATTTAGGAAAATGTCTGAGTCACTCGCTGCCGCGTTGTCAACGAAAAAGGGGAGGGTTCTCGCTAACCGAGCCCTTCAACCGAGTATTTTGAAAATTTGGTAACAAATGCTATAATACAGGACAACAAAATCACATATTCACCTATCGATATTCCATAATCTCTCAATGATGGTTAATACCGATTAAGCCTTTTCTCCATCAATGAATTTCCTCCTACTACATCGAGAGGGACTTTGGACCGAGGCTGTTACCATACTGACACTTATATAGTTTACCTATATCAAGTTCTAGAGTATCATGTTTCGCAAGCACCCGATGAGAATTCAATTCATCTTATTCGCTGTGTTGTAGAGTCAGGCCGTTTGGTGTTACAAGAATGCATATGTTATAAGAAGATCTGGGGAATGCGACATGAACGGCTTCTCAAGTTACATCCGCAGTAGCACTATCTCTAGATACGAGTGAGACGAGTGGAACGACCTCGGTTACTGGCACTTCTGTGTTTACTCTAATGTCCTCAAACCACCTAACTAGTTCTCTACTATCTAATGTGGCGTGTATTAAGATGCTGACATTCCCAGGCTAGGTCTTTTCATATCCAACCGCCTCCAGGACTTCATAATTGTTTCTAAACCCTTTTGACTACACCTATTCGACGCCTATCTACCAGCAAAGTCCTCCCGTACCTCCAATCAACCCAGAATGAAAATCTCAACCCCCTCGCTCCTCCCTCTCGCAAGCTTCCTCTCAATAACCCTCTCAACCACAACCCCATCACTCCTTTTCCCTCACCCGCAAACCATCACCCCCGGAAATAACGACATCGCACCCTGGCACATCACAAACCTCTCCCAGCACCCCCACAACCCCGCACCATACAAATACAACTTCAAAATCAGCGGCGGCAAAGAAGAAACATTCTACAAGGAACCAAATTTTGAGAGTACATGCATTACCAGTCCTTCAACCCCAAAGGGGGGTCCATGTGACCCAAGTTCTGTGGCTGTTACAAAGGTCGAGCACAGTGAGAAGGAGGTAGTCTTATTTTTAGAATATAGTTTACATTAGTAGAGAAGCGAGGTATACTATTATAAGGAATATTACTGTAGTGTTAGGGGAGAAGATACCGAGGAGTTTTGAGGTGGTGCCGACTTCTGTTACTGCTGTTGCGTGATTTTGGGGGTTTGTATGGGCGCTGGGATGATAGAATGTATGGGGTGGGAGTTGGTGATTACTGGGTTGTATTTGGGGGTTTATTGGATTCGCACAAGGGGGGTTTTTAGGGTTGTGGAAAGAGTGTTACAACAAGAGGCTGGGGAGTATAATGGATTTCTCGCACCACTGCTGAAGTAGTCCGATTCTATAAGCCATACTCCCTTAAGTAGAGAAAAAGAAGTTTAACATAGTAAAATAACAGAAGTCTCATACCCCCGTCGGTTTTTCAAAACCTCTATAGGATGGTAGGAAACAGATTTCTAGGTAGACAACGATATCGATTGATTTGGCTGTATGTGCGATCACAGAAGATACTCATATTTAATTATCATCAGTAAAAGCATAGAACACTCACCACAAAGCAATAACATTCGACTCGAAATTCGGCACGTCTTCAAGCCCCAGTTGGCATATTTACGACCCCAGTAATGGTATTCCTCAATTCTATGGTTTAGGCGTCACAATAGTCCAATTGACCAAAAGACGCGTTTGCGTTTTACCATGTTATACTAGGCGAACTTGTTAACCAGGAAACACCGCTTCCTCATTTAATATATATCTATGACAACCGATCTACGCTTATTTTTGTCTTTGTCAATTTAAACCACGTATCAGTGTATCACATCCGGCAAAGCATAAAGCAGAAAGCTAGATCTCTCCCTCAAACAATAAATCCATGAATAAGGAGAGCTATATATACGTTCCACCGCCAACCCAGAAAACATATGTGTCTCTAACATTTATGCAAGAAGCCTGGGAAAACCATGCTCAGAGAGCTACCGTCTATAATACCCATACCCCCCTCGCAATTGCAAAAATCCCAGGAACCAAATATCACTACCAAAATTTCAACGCCCCTCCACCACTCCGAAACCCCAGAGAGCATACACCCAACGCACAACAAACAACGACAATAAAACCGCGCTCCAAGCTCCAGTAATCCCAGCCTCTTCGAAAAAACGTCAGTAAGACCTCTATACACGACTTCAAAACACCAACAATAACCAACTCACAAGTCCATCCACTACGGTATACAAAACCCTCCCTTCACACATTCCGCCCCTTCTCAACCTCATCACGAATAATAATCTCATCCACTCCCTCTTTCTTTCCTGCATACCGCTGTGCCGGATTACCTCTCGCTTCAATCTCCGGAATAACCGTAGCGAAAGTCGTCAAAGCGAAGGCGCTAGCGAAAACCAATAAGAGAGATGTGAACTGCATTCTTATAATGAAAGATGGGTTTAAATGAGAGATTTGGCATGAGAATGAGTGCTTGTAAGGAAATAGACTGATCTGATACATATAAGAGGGATTGGACGTGGTATAATGTATTCATATACATACGGAAGAGGTACACTATTCAAGTTAATTCACGAAGTCGTAGTCTGAAACTATATATGGGGGAATGTCAGGTCCCTTCCACTTGGAGACTCGCTAGGTAAGGAAGTATATCTCCGGTATACCAATACCAATGCCAATGTCACACTATACTTCTTGTGGTCGAATAGGTATCCACTAAACTCGTCGTGTGCTATTAGTGCTAGCGCTATTGGCAGCTGAGATTGTTTCCTCATTCCTCACTTTCGTGAAGTGCTAGTCTAGCACTAGCATTTAATCTGAAGACGGGAATATCCATGCGTATACTGTAACATGGTATGATAAATGTGTAGGTAATAAAGTAGTCTCGCTAAGATACATGCAATTTGCAAATGTAGTTAATAAATAATCTATGAAAATAAATGCTAGGTCTCTTACCAGCTATCTCACATCTCACATCTCACGTTCCTAAAGTACATCTAGAATTTCATCATTCACAGCTATAACCCTTATATGTAACTCATTCCAAGTCCAATCCACCAGGATCCTCCTCATCTAGCCAGCCAAAGGGAAATACCCAGGCAAATACCCATGCAAATCAAACTAGATCAGAGCTCAAGTTAGATCGCGCTTATAACCATCCATCTACGTGACACAACCCTTAGCACCTAGGCAGTATAATTCTAGAATTGAGAAACTAGAACTCAGCTCCAGGCCAAGACAGCCAATAACAAGCCCGCCCGTCTTACTCGCATCTCTAGATGGGGTGTCCTACCCTACGCCAACCACTACTTATAGGATGGTGATCCTGTCCAAGACAAGATACTCGGCATTGGTGCACGAGGTAATCCAGACCATACTTCAAGAAGCAGCAGCTAACAGGAAAAGATTCCTGATCCGCATTCAAACTGGATTTCCTGATGTGACCAAGTTACAAAAAAGCGCTAGCTAGCAGCCTACACTAGCATCACGAAATCCACACCAACAAAACAGAAGAAAAAAACTCAAGACTTGTATTGTAATTGTATGTACTACTCCACAAACGTTCACACACTACAGATTGGATTGATCTGATCTGATCTGATCTGTAGATACCTTAGGTATGTATGTCTTTCTGCACCCCCTCCCCCTCCCCCCCCCCCCCT